AAGAACAGTCCCTAAAGTGCGGTGAGGTTTGTGGACCGTTACCTGCCACAGAGAGAAATGTGAACGGCTCGTTTCTCCTCTGACACGCCACATACAGTGTGCCGCCACAGCTCGGTTGTCCAGGTACTACTGGGCAGTCATGACACCAATGAAAGAGGAAATTACTGGACCTGGAGTCGGACTTCTCTGTCGCCGGTAAGCCATTATGTTGTGGCGTGGAGCTCACGGGATTTGCGTGGAATGCATGGATACTCACCCTTGGCTTCTTTGTCTCCAAATCTTTAGTCCATAAATTAGTCTACTCCGCTGTGTAGGTATGTTACCACCAGACACCTGTGCCTGCTGCAGCGGAGTTGTCCTTTCCTTACGTCATAGATTAATTGGGGCAGTCGCGATCGGACAGCCTTATTGGCTACAAAGATGCAGATGAAAGGTTTGAATATTAATTCAAATTGTGGGCGTAGTCAGTAGCGACTTATGATTTTAAAAGTAGCGAAGTAGATTATATGGTGTAAATTGTACTCAAATATGAGTAAAATTACTCACTTGAAAAAAATACTCATGAGTAGTTTCTAAGTCTGCCCCGGTATCTGTCACCTTTTTCACTCTCCATTAGTTTCCTAAAGTTTGTTATTCATCAGTAGGACCGCACAGTACACACATCACGTTAAGCTTAAAATGCATTGTAATTTGTTCAAGCTTGCATTAACGTTAGCCGCTTTGCTGTAGCTAACGTTAACGAACAAGTTACTATGTGCCTTGTGTACTCTACTGTCTTAATTGATATTCCATGCATTTGGTGTTGTATGATTTTACAGTCAGGTGGAGAGAGGCAGGGAGTGCTGTGAGAGCGAAGGCATTTCGCTCAATGAGGAAAAATGAGCCCCCTTACAATGTTTGGGAAATCGGTGGAAAGATAAGTTTTTGTCGCTTTCTCGCCGTTGGTACGAGTTGCACTGGGGTACACAGCAGTAAGACATAACTGCCTCCCTCTCAAAACACTACTATTTTCAATGCAGTAAACAGTGGGCGGGGCAAACCTCCCACCTCTTGATTTTTTTAAAATCCAACATGGCAGCGGCGTGAAATCAGTCTAAAGAGCGACACTGCTGGCGTTTCAAACCTACTACCATTGTTGTGTTGATAGGACTGCAACCTTCATGTTAGGAGCCAAACAACTCAGGGACTTCTCGGAGTCGGAGCTGTTTCCTGATTCCTGTTTAAGACACACAGATAAGTCTGTGTGTTGTATCTTAAACATGCTCTTGTGTCCTGCCACCAGTTAACCAAGGTGTTAACCAGCAAATGTAGAAAAGCTGTTTATGTCTCCAATGTAAGGACTGTGAGGTAAAAAGGTCCTTCAACTTATTCAATTTAACTATTAACATTTTTGATCATCTTGTTGGTGATCCAAAATTTGGCAAGTAGGCAATTTGTCTTTTTTTTTTTTTTTTT